TCCAAAAATAATGGTACTTGATGTAACTTAAGTTCTATGAGTGCAGACGAACTAGAACAATGGAAGGCGCCCAGATGGTCGCCGTGTTGCGTTCTGTTGTGTTAGCCTAGATGGTTAATGTTATGCTGTTGATGGTGATGTTTGAGAGAACAAGGCTACTAGTTGAACAAGACAAACAGAGTAAACAGTGACTGTTGTTGTATTCTCTAAGACATGCCAATAAACAGCAGAAATACAGTTTGTAGTGCCTGCTTCCTTAATCCAGAGTTTGTCTTTGTCAACTGAAGAGCTACATAGGAATTTTGACCCGGTGGCCGTGGAGTGCACATTTGTAAAACTCGGTTGGTTTACTGAGCCCATCCCTGATCCCATGGGGTGCTTGTAAATTTTCCCTTGCAATGTGTATTGAATTGTCAATAGCATACTTTGACATCATTCTGCAATGTTTATAGGCAAACAACTTAGTTTAGAAACTACCCCACTGGGGGTCAATTGCAAACTTCTGGGAAAATACCATAGAAAACATAATTCATAGTGACAGTCGCTGAACACTGTAAGCAGAGTCACATAATGCTACTAGAAAAAGGGAGTAACAGCAGGGACAGCATGGAAATGGGAGGGGATAGCAATAGAGCGAGCAACTCAAATACCTTGGCTTACATCACTCTAATATCACTTTACTTTCTCTTCTGAGTGCGCAAGTCAGAGGCAGACAGAGCACAGGAGCAGAAGGAGCTGGAAGAGTGTTTCTGGGACGTTTGACATTTTCTGTCTTTACGAGGAAGGATGACTCTTTGGCCAACAAGGTACGCATAAGCTTTGTTTGACTTTACTTGGAATGCTATCAACTTAACAGAGTTCTCCATTGTTCAGCATTAACAATGTTTTATTGCCTGTAAATGGAAATATGCAGATAAGAGCTAACCCAGACAGAAAAAAAATCAAAGCCTTTAAATGCAGTGCCAGATGAGCAGGTTTGGAAATCCAGTATGTTTGTTTCAGACTGTAACTGTATTTGTCTCAACATGTTTAGTGTTTGCTGATGAGCTTCAGCCCCAAAGTTTTAAACATGTATTGAGAGCGTGGTGATGACTGACACTCCTGCACTAAGGTGGCTGCAAATGTAGATGAGGATATGCTCACATATGAATATATGTGTGCAGTAAATGTCACACTTTTAGTGGATTTAAGTGCAAACACTAACACACAAGGAAAAAGTTGTGTTGCATAAGTCACAGGGTAGAATATGTATCCAAATGGGAAACAACTGTTGGATTGGTGCAGAGCAATGATCAGTATTTCCAGCAGCTGCCTTTAATATGTTTTACTGCCACCTTACGTAACTAAATCAGAAAACTTACAGGGCTCTTCATAGATCGAATTAGAAATCCTTTATGTTGTGCAGATGCATACATGTAAACATGCATATATTCAATGCATGGGTACTGAATACTTTGAGATTCACAGACATAATAAAATACATTATAGATGCAATAACTGTTCAAAGCAACATTAATCTAAATGCCATGTTTACTGTTTATGTGAAAAGAGCAACACATAAACCTAACCTGGCACCTACTATTGCAAGAAGGACATCCTAGTGAATGTTATCTTTTATCAATCATTGTCAAACAAACTCCACCTACTCATGTTACTTAGATGTTATTCAACTTTTTTTCCTTTTTATTGCACCATTAAGTGTTTGCAGACACTTTAGTCTGTATTTTTCCACATTTTTCTTGAGAAGTCAGTAACATACTTTACTATGTTATATATCTTACTATCGAATTTACATTTTGTTGGTATCATGCCCTTGTTTGATAGTAGCAGTAAAGATAGTGAGACAGTGTGGGGAAAGAGCAGGGCAATGACATGTGGTGGAAATGGTGAGTCGGCATTTGCACACAAACTATCTCAAAGGCAGCCAGTTCAATGGAATCATTGCTCATCTACTGCATAGTGTTCTTTGGAAATATCTGTGTGTGTGTGTGTGTGTGTGTGTGTGTGGGGTTATGACATTCTGCAGTGTGCTGCTCTGCTTCTTGGTATTAAATATTTCACAGTAGATAGCTTTACATTAGTATTTAGCATTACTAAGTATTTTACAGTATCCAGAGTGACTCCAAATTCTTCTTTTCTCAGTATTCTATTATGACAAAACTGTAAGATCATTTTCAATGCTAGCATTTAGGTAGTTTTATATAACATTTTGTCTGGTTTGACCTTCCTATGTTTCTCCACAGCATCCCTGCAAGCTTAAGCCATGAAAACCAAAGCAACACGGTGGACGGTGTGTGTCGTTATGACAGAAACAGCTTGATGTTCACTGTGGTTCCAGTGTATATCGGGATCATCAGTGCGCTGGGAATAATCCTGAATGTGTTTGTGCTGATGGTTTTCTGCCTCCATAAGAAGGCCTGCACCGTGGCTGAGATCTACTTGAGCAACCTGGCTGCCGCCGACCTCTTTCTGGTGTCTATGTTACCCTTCTGGGCTGTGAATGTAGCAAAAAGATATACCTGGCCATTTGGGGAATCCCTGTGCAAGCTAGTCCCCTTCTCCATCACCATGAATGCCTACTGCAGCATCTACACCCTCGTTCTGGTTAGCATTGACCGATATTTGGCACTGGTGCACCCTCTGACCACTGAAAGTGTGCGGAGGCCATTATATGCTAAACTGGCATGTGTAGTGGTGTGGGGTGTATGCGTTCTCCTGAATGTCCCAGTTCTCATCTACAGGAAAATTAGGGAAAGTGATACCGCATGCTTTAATGCTTATCCTACAGAAACAAAAAAAGAAACAGAAACAGCAATAAACATAACCAATGTAATTCTAAGCTTCATCATCCCCATTTTAATTATTTTCTTCTGTACTCTCAAAATTATTCACGCTCTGAGAAACAGGTTAAGGGACAGCTTAAACACTGAGGGAAAGGAGCAGAAGGCCACCACTCTGATCCTCATAGTCCTATTGGCGTTCCTGATCTGCTGGGTGCCATACCATGTGATTAAAATCCTAGACCTACTCAGTAGACATAACATATTGACAAGGTGTGACATGTACCTGAACCTCACCCAACAGATCTTCTTTTACTTTGCCTTCTTCAATAGTGTTCTCAACCCAATTCTCTACGTTTGTGTAGGGAGAAACTTCCGGAAAAAAGTTAAGGAGGTCTTCAGCCAGATGAGTAATAAGAGAAAATCTACATTCAGCCTCGTCTCCACACGTACAAACCTTTCAAGGAGTGTTGGAACTCAGGAGGCCACAAAATCATCTGCATATTTGTAATTTTTGATTCGGGATTTGTGTTGTTAGGATTTCGTACAGTGAAACTGGTGATGTTTTGGTGATGATGGCAAAGTTCCTACATTCTGTTTTTGGACAATCTGTATTTACAGGTTTTATTTCACGTGATGCCCACCAGATACTGCTCACTCTGGTGAGATTCAGTGCCCCTTTTGGATTGTTTGCTGGTGGAACATGACAAGTGATTTAAAAAGTATATTTGTGTTCAATGACTCAAAGATTGTAGAACAAAGACTTAAGGGACATCTGTATGTTTTTCTACAATTCTTCCTTATGTGTTAGGGTCTGTTTCCAGACATAAATGTTTCTTGAGGCATTGATGTTTAAGTAATGGATGAAAAGATGGATGATAATGGATGAAACTCACAAAGAAGTCCTCAAGTTTTATTTTATCTTCTCAGCATAGTTCTGAACCCTGAACTCTGAACCTTTTCATGACAACACAAAAGTCAGGTGGAAAGGACGACTTAAACAAAGGAATGAAGGGTGCGGTCATTTTGAAAGAAAGTGATTTAAAAGACTCTGTCCTTGGACATCCTGCTGACATTTTGTACCCCTTCTGCATTTATCCAAATCGGCCACTCTTGCACTCACACCCTAACAGTTGTTTCACTGGCTATCGTGCTTTCAGATTTAACACAGCAACACTACCACATAATTAAATATGATTACCGCACATGTTTTACATCAGAGAAGTAATGGACAAAACCAAAGATAATGGAAGTAATGCACCGAAGAGGTGGAGACAGACTCTGTGTCTGTGTAACATCATTTACACTGTTGATACAACAAGTCAGTGGTGAGATGTTACAGGCCGCTATGTGCGTGCATGTCTGTAGATATGTATTTAAGTCTCTCAGTATTGTAACAGGTCTGTGTGAATATATCGTGATGTAACTTTTCTATTTTCTGCTTGTAATATTCAAAAACAAATCCTGTCATGTTTTGAAACCATGTAATATTTCTCAACTGAAGCAAACTTAAAATAATTGTTTAACCTGCCAACAATGGAGAGTGTTAACCTGCACATTGTGAGACATTTGCATGTTTGTAACTTGTTGCTCAGCGCAGTTTGTTTAATATTTTAAGTTCGAGAATCTGGATGTATCACGAAGCAAGTTTGACATAGATGGGCTTTCTTTGTGTAAGTCACGTCAACAAAAACTAAAACCCCAGTCAGAGATAGCAGGTATCACAAATGTTGGTTTTTTTCTAATTTCTTGGTTAATTCAGGCTTTCTGCTTCAAACTCTGTGCGCCTTCATTTAACACAGCGTGTGACTCTTCTCTGCACAAAATTAAACAATCGTGTGCAGCTGCTTTAGTCAACAGGTTGTTTTAATGGAGAGCAATAAGGAATATAAAAGATTATGACAGTAAAAATCACTGCTACTGCATACAGGAACGCTGGCAGGAAACTGTTAAACATGCATAACATATTTATTCAGTAGACTAATCAATGTTCTAATCTGTGTTCTATCAGCTGCAACACCAGCACTGTAAATAGACCAAACATAAAAACATATTTATGCAATTTTTTCATCACCACCTGAATATGTGTTGGGTTCCCATGGCAACGCATTGCCTACAGTGTGCGATACTGTTACTGCACAGCTTCATTCAGTGATATTAGTAACGTACAGCTCAATGGGTTTACAGATATATTCCTTCAGCTGAGTTTTCGTATCACTCATAGAGAATTATCAGAAAACAACTTGGAAAAAAGATTTACATCTGGAACTCAGAACATAACCTGCTTTGTACCAGGTTAGCGCCACTGCATCAGTTGCCATGGTGAGCTAGCCAGGTTGAAAGAGAACCACCTTTGTAATACTGGAAACTCTGACTTTAGGCTCAACATACCTTGCGAATCCATTAATCTTGCTTCGCAGTACAGCCATCTGGTCATGCCACTTTCTTTACATTGTGAAAGCACTTGAGTGTTGCTGAAACAACATCTGTGTCAATTGTGTTTGCATAATAATGTATCGTAACACCTGCTGTTGGGTGGCATAAATAATGTAACATGACACTGCTTTTTAAATGAATAAAAAAAAGAAGTGAGATGCTAAATCTGTAGAGTGTTCACTTGAAGCTGTCAGGTCCAAAAGGATCGAAACTCGATCCCATCCCAACTTTGTTTCATCTGGTTCAACCTTATGCCCACCTCTACTGAAATGTGTCTGCAACACTGTGTACTTGGTACAGAGTTGTTAGAAACTATGAGTTAGTAACTGTTGAAGCAACATTTTCAGCTATACCCTAAATAGGAAGGCTGAATCTTGCCTCCAGCTGCTGTATATATAGACTGAAGAGGGTTAAGAAGAACTCCAGGGGCCTCATTTATCGTTAGTACATACGCACAGATACAGTTGAACCCAGAAGTTTACATACGCTGTATAAAAATACACCTAACTTTTTTTCTCTCTCACTGTAGGACATTAAATCAGGCTAAACTTTTCTTGTGTTAGGTCAGTTAGGATTACCAAAATTATTTCTACTTGCTAAACGGCAGAATAATGAGAGAGACAATTTTTTTTAGAGAATTTTTATTACTTTTGTCAAAGTCAGAAGTTTACATACATACCCTTAGTATTTGGTGGCACTGCTTTTAAACTGTATGACTTGGGTCAAACATTTCGGCTATCCTTTCACAAGTGTCTCACAATAGTTTGCTGAAATTTTGGCCCATTTGTTGTGACTCGGCCTGCCTGGTACGTTCGTCAAAACATATAACTGAGATACCGATCCTTAACTGAACTCACAGCGCGGGGAAGAGCGCATGCGTATCAGTTCTGCCATATTCCGGCCTGCAAGCAGGTCTGAGCGTTCAGTAGATTTTCATTAGGTTGGGTTTTTTCCACAGGTTTGTCCAGTCTATTCATTACTGTTTGTTTTTGTTTACACATGATATTATTTACTCATAACTTTTACACGTCACATTTTAGTGTTTTTTCTACGTTTACTTAACCTTCTTTAATCATATCTTTAGGTTTTTTGTTTTTTTTTTAATGTAATTCTAAAAATCAGTTTTGTCTTTTGTTCAGTTCTAAAAATCCCACAACATTTCCCCCCTGTGTGACTGATAAGGCACATAAACAACACATTGAATAAATCAACAGGTGCACCAACATTTGGAAGATATTACCTCAAAGAACTGAACTGAAGGGAGCTGGAGAAGATTAAGGCATGCAAGTTAAATCGTCATATGCAAAACAGTAAATGAAATGAGTATTAAAATAATATGCAGTCCAACCAATATATGAAAATCACATGCAAGACTGAATATACATGATACAGGTAAAACGGAGTATATGGTATCAATGTACTAACATCTAAAGAAGTAAGTAGGGAATACTGTTCAATCATCCAGTGATTGCTACTGTCTACAAGAGTAAATACATGTGATATAGGGGTGTGCACCCTCAATCGTCTAACGAACACTACTACCACACACTACAAGTAATATGAAGTTCACACAGAGAGTATATCCTTTTTTTTGTTTGTTTTGAAAGAACATATAGAATGTAGAGTCCTTTATACCTATACAAAGATTATATAGTCCATTATAAGTATATGGTAGTGTATATAACAGTAGTTATGATGGATCCAGTCTTAGTAGGTTTGGATGACGGACAGCTTTAATCCCGATATCCCATTCTTCCCCTCAGCTCAACGTACACAGCCAAACGCTGTGTGAGGGCATCCCCGAGGCTCCTTTGTGCAACCTCAAGTATCTCCATTTGGTCTTTGAGACCACTCTCCGAGGCTTTGGTGGCCTCCAGTAAGGCTTCACGGTATAACGATATGCTTCGTCTAAACGATAGAAAAATTCTATCGGGAAACAAAAGCTCTGTCGTTTCTACCTGATCTGAAAAACACACTTTACGACAGTGTTTTACGTTGTGACGCTCCACATATGGCATGCCCACACGCGCTGCTGCCACTGTGAAAAACACAAACAAGCATGGAGGAGACGGGTGTTTGTGGCGAAAGAGAGGACA